GAAGGAGAGAGGAGGCTCCAGCCCGGCCATGGAGGTACGTTCCCCACAGCACGTCCCCTTCCAGAGCCGCTCAGCCCCAACGCGACGTCACAGCAAGACCTCCTGGGTTGGGGTTCACTCCGTATCAGGGTCAAGGAGAGAAAAGGGGGGCCCCTGCCTACGGCTCCACACCGGAGGAAGGAGAGAGGAGGCTCCAGCCCGGCCATGGAGGTACGTTCCCCACAGCACGTCCCCTTCCAGAGCCGCTCAGCCCCAACGCGACGTCACAGCAAGACCTCCTGGGTTGGGGTTCACTCCGTATCAGGGTCAAGGAGAGAAAAGGGGGGCCCCTGCCTACGGCTCCACACCGGAGCGATGGAAGTTGAGGGCTGCGAGAGGGAAGGAGCGACTTTCAATCACGTCCCAGCTCTCAAGTCAAACCTCCGTCCGACACAGCACAATCTCGCCCCCGTTTCCACAACACGGCGCAATCTCGCGCCCGTTTCCCGTCACCTCTCCCTGCAGGTTCCTCAGGGCCCGACGACAAACCCTCGGCTGGAGTTCGACAATCCCGTTGACAGCCGGAGGACGAGTGGCACAAAGCGAGCCACGACTGCGGCAGGGCAGGAGAGCCCCGAGAACATTTACGAGCAGCTTTCTGGAGACCGTCTCTGAGCCACCCACCCAGGTAAGGTCTGACAAGACCTGAGCTCAGGAAAGCTCTCGGGCTCCTTCACCTTGAACCTGGGGAGGAGAGGTCCGAGGCTGCAGCTGTCCCCTCCGCAGACAACCAGCACTGGCGATACCAATCCGCTCCGCCCCAGGATTCCCACGCCCTTCCCGACACGACAGCCTGCTTCCCAAGCCCTGCGAGAGAGTTAAGAGGAGAAACAGATTTAATTTATCTTGAAACACATTCAGAAAGAGATTTCTATTCATAGAATGAGGGCGGAAAAGGCTATTACAGTAAAACCAGATGGGTTTCAGGCACAGCTGGTGCATCCAGAATCAGATATTAAGTTGGCCACAAGCCGGAACGATACCACAGCCTGGCCGCTGACACCTCCAAGCCACAAAACACAGGGTAACGCCAAACCCGAGCACCAAATTCAGCTGCCAGGTCAGTGACACCACCCCTGGGGCTGCCCAGCGCCGTGCAAAACCCTGGCCTCGTCCTTTTGTCCAAAAGGACACCGAGCCAACGCCGCACTACCAGCGGAGTCGGCGCAGCCAGCCTTAAACGGAGCAGATGAGACGTGTCAGAGCTTTTGAGCCAGGGAGGGGAAAGGAGGGCTGCGGGGTTGTAGCTGTTCTCTTTCACTTTTCACAAGCCCATAGTTTGTTGCTTTTAAATGGCTAAAATCAGAGCGCGACTCAGACACCATTCCCGTCCTCGTAACTCCCCTCTAGTGCTAAAAATGAGCCATTCTTAAATGGCTAAAATCAGAGAGCGAATCAGACACCATTCCCGTCCTCCTAACTCCCCTCTAGTGCTAAAAATGAGCCATTACACACCAAAATGGGAAAAAGAAAAGGGGAACCCACGAGCCTCAGCCTCTCAGCTCGCTCCAGGACTCCACAATCCCACCAAAGCCGCTGAAGAAGAGTCTGGGAGCACACAGTCCGCCGGAGGACAGAACTGCCTCCAAAGCTGCAGCAAAGCCCTCCAGCACCGCTGCCGGGAGCTGCCTCCCGGCGCTCCAAGCGCCACCGCCGAGGACAAGGCTCGGCGTTTTTTAACGGCTGAATCCGCGGCGGTGAGTAAAACCCGCTGCTGGGGTTCGTACCCCAGATGGGCTGCGTGTAGCAAACTCCCTCGGACAAGCGTTTCGTCACCGCTCGCGTAACATCTGCTCTGCAAATAAACTGCTCCTGAAACGCGGGCTGCTGTGAAGGTGCTTCAGCCTCAGCGGCAGGGAGGAGGAAAAGCAACGCCTGGAGTTGAGCACCTCGCGATGGAAACGTGTAGTTTGGTTCGTTTAAAAGTTTATTCCTTTTATCAAATCTCTTTTCAGAGGATTTCATGACTGTACATATAAGATATGAATAAATTACTCAACAGTAACTTTATTCTGGTCATTCAAATACTCAAAATGGGCTCTGCAAAGTACTAAAACATCCAGGGAACTAAACTAGAAATCAGGTTATTTTAAAATATCCTAAGAAAAGACTTCATTCATGGGGGTTGGTTTGCTCGTTTTTAACAGGTAACGTGGGAGAAAAACAACCTCTTGGGAGTTTTTCTAAATGGAATAACAAATATTAGCTGGTTTAGCTGCGGTTACAACAAATATAACCCTTCGTGGCGGGAACGTAAGTTAAATAACCAGCCTGGCTCTCTGTTCCCTTCGGCATCACGGACTTTGGTGAACAACAAACTCAACGAGGCCACAGAGATTTGGCCAAAGATACGCGGATCTGGCCAGCAAGGCTGTGCATGATTTGTGGTCGTATCGCTTAGACCTAACACCTTTAACGAAAAGAAAGATTCCATTTTAAAAAGTTAAGGCCGGACACAGTCTCCTCTTCCCAGCCAGGAGGGTAAAGTTAACACTTAATTGAAACAGAATTGATACAAACAAGCTGGAAAAAAAATAAAATAAAATGTACAGTTGGCAGCTTTCATCTGCTCAGAGGAAATACTGCTCCTTCCCTTGCCGAGCTCGCTGCCAGCCACACCGCACCGTGCCGTGCATGCTTGGGTCAGCAAGCCTGGAGAGCAGCCTGGTACCGCGCCGTAGCCTTGGGTCAGGGGAAAGAAGGGAGAAAAAGGAAGAGAAACGTACATACACGCAGCGATCACGTCTATCCAAAAGCCCTCAGCAGCCTCGTGCTGGGCGAAAGATCCTCACTGGTTTTTGTGCGTTCCACGCTCAGGGCGTTTTCACCTCTATTGCAAGCTCTGACCTGTAAAGGAGTTTCCCCTCAGCACAATTCAAGACATACAGGCTGGCAGAGCTGAGAACAAAAACACTAACTTAACCACACTTCAAAAAAAAAAAAAAACCCAACAAAAACAGATTATAAAAATCATTTGCATGAAAGGAGCACTGGGTTTACTCGGACAGGAGTAAGCAGCCATGAGGATCTCTCAAATAAAAGGACAAAAAGAAAAAAGGCAGGCTTGCTCTTGAAACTCACTGTCTTTTAGAAAGAAAAATTACACTCTCAACGCACAGCGAGTCCAAGAAAGGAGCAAAGTGGGAACTGGAAGTTTATTGAGAGTCTGCCTAAGGTTCCAGTGGCGAGGCTACGTTGGAGGAAGAGTAGGCCCCCGTACCTAGAGGACAAAAGCTCCAAGCCCTGCACCAGGCACCTCTCCTGCGGCTGCCTTGGGACGGCCATCAGTCGTACAAAACAGACTTGATTTGAACCTTCCACATCATCGTTTATAAGGAGGGAGGGGAAAGATTACAGGTTTCAGGACCAGTTTGCGTTGAACCTTTCTCCTGACAGGCAGGGGAGCGTAGTGTCCTCCTGCCCACCGAGCAGACCACGCTCTACACGGGGCCCGGTTGATCTCCAGAAGGTCAGGAGAAGTCTGACACAGGAGGTCACCTGGGACAACAGCCAAAAAGTGGGCCAGAGGTGTTAGAATCCGTATTTGGCTTGAGTCTGACGCCGGCTGAGCTTGTTTTCAGACCATGTGTTTTTCAGTTCCAGTTCTCTTTCCTTCGCCTGCAGAAATCAAGAGGATTAACATCAGGGGTGCTGCTCACCGCCTCAGTAGTATTTCACCCTCCTCTGCCCCTGCTGACTGGGATTACAGAACACTTCGGCCAGAAGCCTCGTTACAGGAGTCAGCACCGTTATCTTGACAGAGGCCCGAATTAATTGGGACGCACGGGCATTTCATTCATGCCAAAACACAGCTTCTCTCATAGGAAGGTCTCAGCAGCCGCCTACCAGCCGCACGGCAGCGGTGCAGAGGGAAGACAGGAAGCAGAGAGTCTCGTAACACACACGACCACGCACGCGCCGGAGCTGGGCGGGAGGGAAAGGGTGAAGCAAAGCAAAAAGCAAACTAGAAGCTCAGTGCCATGACACCCTCGGGGCCAAGGTGCTGCTGCTACGAGACTGTTTGGGCAGGCGGCGGCCAGGAGACTCCGGCAGCGCAGCCGCCTCTGTCCCCGTCCGAGCCGCTGTGGGTCTCGCCCGGGGCTCGGGGAGTTCTTAGTCGGGCTGAAAGAGCAGTCTGGTAGCCCTGCCTCGCAATTCTGCCTGCACACCGGAGGGAGGGCACTCACCTGATGGATCAGGTACGTGATCTGGTGTTTTCTCCTTTGCTGTCCTGTGGGCTGATCTCCTTTTTTCTAGAAAGCAAAAACGGGTGAACTGTTAAGCCAGTTCCTGACCCAGACAGGAGCTCGCACAAAGCCTTTTCAAGAACCATTTGTTTCATATGAAATGGCTCTGGGCAGATCCATTAGGCTGAAGCAGTTCCTGGCTGGTCTTTACCACCTGCACGCTGGGACTGTGTTTTGAGAAGCTCTGCTGGTCTCTCATGTGTGATTATTTATACAACACGCAATGAGTGTCCCTGTCCCCTCACCCTGGTGACTGCATAGCATCTAATACAGCTGTGGCCGACACAGGAACTGAACTCCGAAGCCCCAGCCAGCACTCCTCCCTTCCTGCCCGTACCTTGCTGAACGACTTCATGGTCTTCTCCTCTGTCAAGGATTTGGTCAGCCACTGCTGGGCTCCACTCAGCTGATCGTCACCTTTGATATCCACAAAGTTGATCTCTTCCCTCCCTCGATTCCGCTTGCCTTGCAGACGTTTGAACTGAAAGAAAAGGAAAAAACCCAGAGTTACACGTCGCACGCCCACGCTAGCCTGAAACAAGTGAAGGTGGATGGGGTCTGAGCCTTCGCCCCAAGCATGGCATAGGCCACATCAACAAACATCTTTCCAACCAGGATATTTTTTCTTTAGGAGAATTGCGCATTGCTATAGATCATAATATCTTAAACTACTTTTCATGAAGGTTATAATTTCATTTCCCAAGCATTTAAAACAGCGTTTAGTCTTGCTTTTAGTCTCGCTCAGGAGAAGACCCTCAGACTCCCATGTCTCTCATTTTAAGTGCTAGGGAGGCACCGGAAGTTTTGCTGCCAACACATCCACCTCCTGTAACACAAATCCACCTCCAGAGCTAAGAGGCCCCTCGAAGGAAGCAAGCACCGGACAGGCAACTGTCTTCTGCAGCACTGACTGGCTCAGCTAACGAGGCTGGCGGCTTCTAGATTAGATCAACAGTGGGAAAGGGGGGTTTTAACCAGGTTTTGAGCCTTTTAAATAAGCAAGGAGATCGCCACTGTGCTAGAGGATGCACTGCGAAGCAACAGCTTCGCCCTACGCATGTCGTCTGCCCTAGAAACCCCTCACGAGAATGAGACTGGGCTCGGTGGAAATCACAAACATCACCTAATTGGCAAGCAAGCCCATCTGGAGCAGCAGCCCGACAGACTGCTGGGAGGACACCGCACGTGTCCACGACACAGCGCTAGACCCCGCAAAGCACAGGTCCGTGGCTGCCCAAGCAGGTCCCTACGTCCTGGCAGAGCTTAAACCCAAATTCCGCAGCGGGAGAAAGAGTAAAGTGCCAACCGCTTCGTCATCTATGAAGGAGGAGTCGGTGCTCATCTCCTGCGGCGGCGCCTGGGCTGGTTCCATCTCCTGGTAGTACCCGCCGCTGTAGTAATCCTGTCGGCAAAAGGAAAACCAGTTTGTGATGACAGCGAAACAAGATCGATCGTGGAGCAACCGTACACGAAGCCCCCCCGACGGAGCGCTGAATCGCATACCTCAGCCCCTGAGCTCCTGCTTTTGCACCTAGAGGGATTTCACACGGCCTCCGGGGAGCACAGTACGTTCCACGCGTACCTCCTCCCAGGGCTGACCGAAGTAGGGCAAAAGGAAAACCAGTTTGTGATGACAGCGAAACAAGATCGATCGTGGAGCAACCGTACACGAAGCCCCCCCGACGGAGCGCTGAATCGCATACCTCAGCCCCTGAGCTCCTGCTTTTGCACCTAGAGGGATTTCACACGGCCTCCGGGGAGCACAGTACGTTCCACGCGTACCTCCTCCCAGGGCTGACCGAAGTAGTCATTAATCACATCTCATTACTTTGGCACTACTGAAGAGTACCTGGCATTTTTTTTTTTCAGAGGTACTCAACAACAAATAATTTACTGAATTACTAGAAACAACCTGGCTTCAGACACCAGCTCTGGCGAGCCCTGATTCTGCACCCTGACAACAACGGGGGCAGTTGCACAGGGGTATTTTAAAATGAGTGCAGCTATTAAACATTTATCCCGCAAAGAGCATCTACAGCTCTCGTGCCAGAGGAATCCTGTTGCGCTAAGTGCTGTGGATCTCTGCTCCTTGCGTCCCAGCTAGCTCAGATGGGTTACATTCCCACAAGCTGCAGCCTGCTCCAGGAACTAATCCGGAGCTCCTCATCCCAGATCCCTTTTCACACCTCCCAGGCCGTGAACCCACCTGATAATATGCACCAGCCACGCCGGCCTCGCTGTAGGCAGGGAATTGGTTGTACGGCTGGCTGCCGTAGTCTTCTCCGGGTTTGGGCGCCCAGCTGTGCTGAGCACCGCTGGAGCCCGCACCCGTCTTGAACTCCAGAGGGGCGTTAGCAGCAGCGTCCTGGAATTGGGGCTCTGTCTCCGTCCCAGGCGGTGGGTCCTCTGACACCACCGCGCCAGAGTACATGTACGTCTCGGCACCCACGACGCTGGGCTCGCTCCTGTCAGACAAGGAGAAGTAGTTCTCTGGCTCGACCTCTTCATCGCTGTCGTCCTCTTCCTGCGTGATCTGCTTGGTTACCTGCAGGGCAGCGCTCTTCGCAGCAGCTTTGATAGCAGACGGAGAAGGAGTTGTGGGCACCGCTGGCTTGGACAGAGGCTTTGTTTTAGAAGAAGAGGTCGGGGCCTTAGTGGGCTTTGAGTCGGAAGTATTTTCTCCTGCTTTCCTCGAGAAAGCGTAGGGCAAAAGTAACCGATTGGTCTCTTTCACTGTCAAGTTTTTGGGTTGAGGAAGCAAAGCGGACAAACCAGAGCCCTCGCCGCGTCCCTGGTGCGTTTCGTGCAGGGCAAATAGTTCACAGAAATAAGAGAAATGAGTGAGGCTGTTCAGTTTTCCTGACTCCCTGCCAATTATCTCCTCCAAGTCTAACAACATTAATGGGTTTCCCATTGCTCAGCACAATTATTTGCTACTTCGAACACGCTGCAGGGCTTTCTTGCACAAAAGGCCAGTAGGATTTTGAAGGGAAATGTGGTACTTGCAAATATCTGCCAACTTCCCAAATTAATGCCTATTTTCCCAAGATTTAAATTTATGAAATTGCCCCCCCCCCCAAAAAAAAAAAAGGGACACCCCAGGGGATTTCAGGAATTTTATACACTAAAAGCGCTAATCAGAGTGGCTGATTTACAACAGCAGGAGCCCAAGATCTGTCACAAACACTTCTTTCCTGTGAAACTTGTTTCATCAAATACCCTAGGTATTTACCTGAAGAGTATTTTTCTTCTTTGCTGGTTCATCTTCCTCTGAATCTGACTGAGAAAGAAAAACAGAGCTTAGCACAACTTCAGATATTAAAATAAAAGAAAAAAAACCTCACCCATTATACAATTTATTAATTTTCAGGTTGAACCAGCCAAAGAATCACGGTAACGCAGATCTGGATTTAAAATCTGCCAAGAGCCAAGCTAAAAAGCAACAGTGGGATGAGGTCAAGCTCTTTTTCACAGTCTTGCTGATGCATCTATGTCAGGGCAAAGAGAGATAAAAACCTACCCTGGTTACTATTACAAGAGATAAATAAACTGTCCACAGTGAAAGCAGGACCACAGTACTTGCCACTATATTTAGAGATAGCTGAGTCTGCCGTCGTCTGGGCAGAGGCAGAAAAATAAGCAACATTCTGCTGTAAAACCTGAAGCTTTGCAAACAAGGCAGCATCACCTCTAAAAAAAAAAAAAAAAAAATTGTGTAAGAGCAATCTATCCACAGCCAAACTCCAACTTGAGCTCGTTTACACAACTTATGGAACAAAAAAAAAAAAAAAAAAAGGATTTGCCAACCCAAAATTCCAAATTTTCAAGGCAGCTTTTTAGTGCTGCTCTAAAGCTCAGTGGGTGGGCAGAGAAACTCAGCTTTTACATATTTGGCTCCTGCCAGAAATCAGCATTTAGAGACTCAACAGCTCAAGCATTAATTTTTTTTTTTTAAATAAATCACAGGAAAATAAACCTAAAGCAAGGCAAAGAACACAAGCTGCAGAGCATAAGGTCAGCGCTCTCTTTCAAAGCAACAGACAACAACGTTACGTTAATCGAGGGGAAGCACAAAACCACACAAAGCAAGGGAGTAAAAATTCACTGCGGGGATTAACAGGGAATTGTTCACAACAACACTGGAGTTGCTAAATATCCATTTCAAATTTGAGTAGAAAGTCTGGTCGTCTCTGGCAACAGAATAGGCCTTTAACATCTTTATCGTTTTATAGCTTTGCAGAGCACTTTAAAGAGATTACAGGAAACAAGGTCTTCTGCCAGTTTACTATCTAAATTATAAAAAAGGACAAAGACACAGAACATGCATAAATAAAGGCAAGTCAAGAGTTGCCATAAAACCCGCGTGTTGCATTTGGGAGAGAGGAGATAAAGCAGACTGTCCAGGAGCGTCTCCACAGGTGGAAACAAAAGGGATGGGAGGTATTTTAAGGAGAAAGAGGGAACAAACGAGGATGTCAGTCACAGGTGAAGGGACTTCCAGGAATCCCGAACGGGAACTGCTCGGACCAGCTCTGGTTTTAAGGTACTTTTTCTCCCTTCAGCATTCATTCACTCGCTTGACACTGATGACCTGCAGTATTTCAGTTCAAAGTCGATACACCGGAACATAGAGGGGGAGGTAAATGGGAGGAACAAACCCCCTTTCATTTGAGCTTATTTCAGTCACCATACAACCGGCAAGGAAGCGAAGAGCCCTAGCACTTGCTTGATTATGGAGTGCCTGTTCCAAAGCGCTGCAAGAAAGTGAGTAAGCAAAAAGTGGTTATGAGAGAATGGGACATTCCTCTCCGTCTGCCTAAAAGGTCACGCTGCGCATCCCACCACTCGGTGCTTGGGACCTGTGGCATGAGGAGCTCTGGCTCTGGGATTTGCCAAACTGGGCTGGTTATCGGCGAGCAGCAGTGTGGTTTAAGGACAGCCGGGAAGCCCGCATCCTCTCACCCGCTCTCCCCATGCCCCCACAGACCTCTCTTCCAGCAAAGCGAGACATGCTGACTTCGTTTCAGCTCCCCCAGGCTCAAGATGCTGGCAGACCACTATTAATTGATGCTGTTTATAAATCCATACAATCAAACCTCTTCCTCGAGCTACCTGTCCCCATGGAAATGACCCTAAGCTTCACAGTTCAACTCTTCCTACAGCCGGAGGCACTCACGTCTCACCAGAGCCAGCAACTGAGGCCAGACACAGCTGCAGCCACGGGATTGTCTACAACAGTACTGTCCCAGAGTGAAAGAGCAGAGGGGAGAGAAGGAAAGCTGATCAACAGACACCCGGGGGGGAAAAAAAAAAAAAAAAAAAAGAAAAGAAAGGAGGGCAGGGACTTGTCTTTCCCTGCTCTTGCACAGGGCTGTCTGTACTCAGCATTCAGGAGCCCCGTAAGGTACGGGGCACAAAAGCACAAGCTAAGAGGGAAATGATTACCTAAAAGTCTGGAGGACACCTGAAGCCTTTAGATAAATAAGCAATACATTGACAGGAAAAACCAGTGATTGCACAGCAAACAAAGGAAGAGACTTTTCTGGGATGCCCCCAAGCAAGGCCATACAGCTCCACCTCATCAACTCATTAACTTCAGTAATAAATAAGGGTGCAGATAATCTGGGTTTTGCTGTATTATGATTATAAATAAGGTTTCTATATC